ACACGGAGGGCTTTAGGAGGCCCTGGTAAAGTTCTGTGTCTTGGCCTGGATAGTGTTTAAAAAGTTGGTCACTTTATAATGTACTAAGCTTATTGTATGTGATATTTACAATTAAAAGTGTGGGGTTGTTTGGTTTTTGTTTGTTTGTTTGTTTGTTTGTTTTTTGTTTGTTTGTTTTTCAAATGTGAAGGATTTGGACAGGCCGAAGACAAAAAGTAGGTTGAGCAGTTCGATGGTGCAGAGCTGAGGGAGAGGGAGGGGCTTAAGTGAATTGAGATCATTCTACAGTCACATGTAGTAGAAGGGGTGAAATAGAGTTGAGGGAGAGGGGGCTTGGCGGATCACTGTGATATCATCTATAATGATGGGAAGGAATAGAGCTGAGGGAGAGGGGCTTGAGGACTACTGTGACACTGGTTCATGCAGTCGGGATGTGGGAAGGTGAAGTAGGGAGCTGAGTGGAGAGGGGCTTTGAGGATCACCGTGAGATCATCTACAGTCATGGTGGGAGGCGAATAGAGCCAGAGGAGAGGGGAAGGTAGTGGATCACCGTGACACTCATTCACAGCCGATGGGCGTAATGAGCTGAGGGAGAGGGGCTTGATTTGATCACCAAGGAGCACTGGCGGCAGTTGTATGTGGAATGGAATAGAGCCAAGGAGAGGGGTTTGCGGATCACTGGAGCACTGGCCTACAGTCGATGTGGAAGGTAGAATAGGAGCTGAGGGAGAGGGGGCTTGAGGACTACCGACATCATTCATGAGTGTGGAAGGTGAAGAGCTGAGGGATAGGCTGAGGATCACTGTAGATTGGTCTACAGTCATATGAAAGTACAGAGCTGAGGGAGAGGGGCTTAGTGGATCACTGTGAGATCATTCACAGTCGTATGTGGAAGGTGATTGAGAGATGTCCTGCTTCCTTTTACAATTCCGGCAAAACTCCAACCAAACTTAAATCCAGCATTCTTTCTACTTTGCCTTTGCAGCTCAGTGTTGGTGCAGAGAAACAGAAGACTCTGCTCATGAGTTTTCCTTTAAATTCATCATCTCTGACCTCATGGGGGCCTGGGTGCTGCCCAGCAGTGATACCAACTTCCTCCACCCTCCCCTTCCTTCGTCACTCATACCTTTCTTCTTCCTCAAATCCCAGTACCCCCTCTGCCTGTCTGCACCTAGGCCTAAGCTCTCAGCCAGGCCTCCTTTTCCTAAGGATGTCTGCCTTCCCTCTGAAGGCCAACCCTCCACACATCCTTTAGATCCCCCGCTCCAACCTACTCAAGGACAGAGCTCTTTCTCTGGCCTAAACTGTCCATCTGTGCTTCTCATCTCAGTCCTGCCTTCAGCATAGTATCATATCATTATTTCTCCATTTTCAAAAATCCTTCACAACCCCAGAGTCCTATCCAATGGCCACCCCATCCCTGCTCCCTTTTTCAGGCAAACTCCTTTAAAAAAGTGTCCATTCTCACTTCTTTGAATTTCTCTCCTCCGAGTCTTTCTGGACTCCACTCCGAAGGCTTTTGGCTCCATGAGTCCACTAAATGACTCTTGTCAAGACCGCAATGGCAGCCATACACCCAACTCCAACCACAGCTCATCGTGGCAGCCTCCTTGAGATATGTTCCCTTGGCTTTCGGGACACCTGAGTCCTCCTCAGTTTTAACCTGCCTCATAGGCTGCTGCTTCTCAGTCTCCTTTGCTGGTGTTTTCTCACCTTCCCTGCGGAGGTTGGATAATCACATCTAACCTCATAATACGGTCAGAGTGTCATAGATCTAACCTAGTGTCGAGTTTTATGAATAATTTCAAGGATGCAGGTAATCCTGAGACTCAGGCAGGACCTGGGGACGTTCAGGTTGCCTCCTCAGGTCCTTCCTTGGCATTTGGGGCTGTGTTCTAGGCAAGGTTTATGTGTGAAACCTCTAAGAAATCTATGCAGTCATCACTCACATGCAATCTCTCAATTACATAAACTGTCTCATCATTCATTACTTGATGAAATATCATCATTGTATCCTCTGATAATTGCACAGCTTATGACGCTATCTAGAGAGCCTTACCCCATAAATTCAGAGATTCTAGTTTGTTTGCCATCCAAACTCTTAGACCTCTTTTCTAGGAAATGTGCTGCATGTGTATGCCATTCACATGTTTACAAGGAGGCCATCTTTTTCCTTCTTTCCTGGGGACAGAAGAATGAGAAAACGGATTAGAGACTCATGCTAATGACTTCAAAATTTGTATTTAGGACCCATGCCTTTCCCCTAAACTACACTTATTTATTCAATTAGCTACTGGAAATTTTGACATTGCTGTGTAATAGCTTATCAAACTGAACATGAGCACAATAGAAATAATGATTTCATGCCTCAACTCCCTACACACACCCACACACATGCACACATACACACATGCACACACACATACACACACGCGCACACATACCCCTTTCTTCTTCCACAGTTGTCCCCACCCCCCACCTGCCTCCTGTCTTCTCAGGAAACAGGGAAATACACTACACTCATATTTGACTCCTCTTTTTCTCTCACACCATGCATCCATCCTGACTAGATATTCTGCAATTTCTCCCTTTAATTTATACCCAGAATTCAAACGCTGATCCTACCTCCAGCACTACCTTCCCGGGTCAAGTCAGTGCCATCTCTTGCATAGATGTTGACATAAGCTCCTGCGGGCTTCTCTGCTTCCTGCCTACACCCTGGCCCTCCAGAGGGCATTCTGAACATAGCAGCCAGGTGGATGTCTTTAAAATACCAGTCAAATTATGTCATACCTCAGCTCAGACTTCTGCAGTGGTTCTGGTATCTTCCAGAATAACAGCCAGGGTTCTGAAAGCAGCTGTCAGGGAACTACACATTCTAGATCCTCCCGAACTCTCCAACTTCACCTTCTGTTTTTTTCCCTCGTTGTTCACTCTGCCTCCACCCCACTGCCCACCTCGCTGTACCCTGAACAGCCAACCACATCAGCACACTGGGCCTCTGTCCCCTTACAGTGTTATCTGCTTGTCCAGAATGCTTATTCCCCCAGGAATCCATGTGACTTGCATTTCTAATCTTCAGACATTTTCTTAAAGGCACCTGCTTTGTAAGGCACTCTCTAATCCCCTCTTTAAGATTGAGATCTCTACTTTCTTTGGAATCTTCCTCTTCCCTGTTGATTCTTCTCTTCCTCACTTAGCACCATTGGAAACAGTAGACGTTCTGACCTCTCGGTATTGACTGTCACAGTGCTGTGGATGAAGGTGGAGAAGTCTGTTCATTCACTGCTGTATCCCCAGCACCTCGGTAGAGCCTGGAATGTGGTAGGCTCTCAATAAATGTTGCATTATTTGATTAATAATTGAGCAAACCTACTTGACTTGATCTGAGTTTATATTACAAACAGATAAAAAATGTAGGGCTGCCACAAAGAACACCTTGAAAATGGTCTGATGGAGTTTGGAATTTATTTGCAGGCTGAAGAAAGCATTAAAGGAAACTGAGCAAAACAGTAACAGAAAGAAATGATGTCAGGGACACAGGAAATCATGCTTTAAGAATAAGAGTAATGATAAAGGGAAAATGTGATTCTTTAACATCAGTCTTCTTCTAGCTCATTGATATTGTGTGGGCTGCCAACAATTATGAGGTGGAATGCGGGGCCGATTTTCAAAATAATTATACAACCTTGTTGAATTTCAAATACAGGCATGAAAATATCTTGCTTTATAAGATTGATAGTGATGTATTATAAGTGTTCATCATTTAATACTTAAGTATGTTCCTCCAAATGTATATGAAATAAGATTGTTGAAATATATGTTGGTAGAAGCAATCTTATAACATACAAAGCTTTGGGATATCTATTTTCTGAAGACAAAAAAGCAAAGACTAAATTCACTTATATGTCTTGCCAGTTGAGTTTGATAGACTTTTTCTACATTGAACCATATTTGTCCTCCTCTATCAACCCCCTGGCCCTCTCCCACCCCCGACACACACACACACACACACACACACACACACACACACACACACACCGCGGTTTGCCTCTCCTCCTTCCTCCTCCTGCATCTCAAAACAGCTTCAGCCAGCATCAAGCTGGTCACCACATCAATCTTCTTCAGCTCAATGAATGTTATAAACTGCCTGTTATAAAATCGATCAAGGCAATTCAAACAAGTCTCTAACCTTATTAATTCAGCCTAAACATAAAATGCTGCCACTTTATAAGATGTCGTGATCTCTTCTCTCGTGGATTCCATCAGCACAATGCTTTCCAGTATATTCCTCCAAAACTGTCTGAAATCAGATTGAAATTAGAAATATATGTTAGTAGAAGCAGTCTTTCTTTAGGATATCCTCTTCTAAGGCTCAACAAAAATCCAGTCTCCTCTCTCTTTCCTGGTCGGTGTCGACCTGTCAGCCTCGCCTCCTCCTGCCAGCCTGGCCCTCTCCCCCAAACTGAAACCTGGTTAAGCCGAAATCCATCCATTACTCTCAAGCTCCTGCACCCAGCTGGAAATAAACAGTCAGTTTAAGCTCTCTACTTTGAGTTCACAGTGGCAATCTACCAGCAGTATAGTGCAGAGGAGTGTCACCGGATGGGGCGTGTTGTGCCCCGCCAGCTGTGGAGGCCAGGCTGCAGTCTAGCCAGAGGAAAATCCACCTCTAAAAGCTCCTGCCTCGCTTCTCATCATCCTCACCTCATATGTATTCCTATCCCTTGGCCCCACTTTACCTTAGAAGGTGGTGGGTTAGAGGTTTTGGGTTGACATGGGATAGGTTGGAGTGTGTGTGTGTGTATTTTTGGGAAGAGGGTTGTGTTAAGTTTTCTGACACACACACACACACACACACACACACACACACACACACACACACGCATTATTTTACTGAAACTGGTTAAGCAAGAAATCCCATACACTGTCAGCTCCTACCCTTTTGGCTGAAATAAACAGTCAGTTTGAAAGCTCACTCTGCTTTTTGGGTTTCACAGTACAACCGATACCAGCAGTATGGTGCAGAGGAGTGTGTCCTGCAGATGGGGGGCGTGTTATGCCCCCGCCCTGGCTGTGGAGCGGGGCTGCTGCCGGAGCCTGACCAGAGGAAAGTCACCTGCGAAGGGGGCAACGGCCTGGGCTGTGGGGTGAGTACTGTCCGCACCCCTGGGGCGATGTGTTCCTGTCCTTGTTTGCTTTTGCGCATGGGCTGGGATTATATTTTTATTTTATTCTCATTTTCCCTTTGGACTCAGACATCTTTGAACTTATGTATAAGAAAATAGATTTTAAATTCCTTTATAGGACTCCAGATTGGAAAATGTATGTATGTATTTTGGGGAAAAGAGTTGTATTAAGATTTTCTGCTTTGGTTGCTTATGGAAGTATTTGCTTTAAGATGCTGTGAACCACTTAGGCCAGACTTTTAAACTTTTCTCCCAGAACTCAACTGATCCAGAGCAAAAATGTATTCTTTCTTCAGAGTTGCGTTTAAGTAGACAGGAATGAAGGAGAAAGAATTCTCCATCAGTGATGTCTTACTGACATTGTTTGCCTAAGTGTTTTCAAGAAATAAAATGAAGGTTAATGTGGAAAACTTGAAATGTTATTGTGTCATAAAAATCGTTTTAAATAGAGATGAACAAAACTAATGGTGTCTCTTATGGAAGCAGAATAAGAAACGTGAAAAATGTTTGTTCTAAGAGGTCAAACCATGTGACCTGGCCGCCTTTTCGAATGAATCTATGGCTGCAGGCTGATGGCTCAAGGGGGAAAGAAGCATAACTCAAACACAAAAAGGCTTACTAAATTATAGGTTAAAATGACAAATGGATAATAGTCCTGATATTAAATTTCATGCAGCCTAGAAAAGTAAGAAAGTGTATGTGCATATAAAAGTCTATTGAATTTTGATGGGAAACGTTTCTTTTAAAATTGCAACTTCATGAGGAGTTTTGTGCAAGAAGGAGCACAGATAGCAGAGGTATATTTGCCAGGCCTGATTTGGGGCTGAGCGCTGTAAGTCATCTAGAAATAAATTAGCATTCATTCCCCTTAATAAAGCTTCCTGTATGTCATGCAGTGGGGCTCACAAAACCCCGGGTTGAACAATGGAGTAGAGGAAGTGGAAGTTGAAAAATAATGAGATGCCATGGTGCCTAAGTGGAAAGAAATACCTCTGGATTCATAATCGTGATTGCATTCGAATGAAAACTCAAGTGATATTTACTCTCCCTGGAGATGATGGAAATCAGGACACACTCTCCAGCCGTAGTCATCATCATGTGCTGAATTATCTGCACTGATTGTGTGTGGCCTCAGCAGGTTGCCAACCTCTGGGGTCAGAATGCTAGCAAATGTTATCTTTTAAAATGAGCTTTTAACGAATTGTTTTTAACTGCTGGCTAAATTGTGTGCTTCTGCCTGCTAATTGCCTACTGTGGTTCCATCCTCTAAAGCTGGATTTTAAGATTTTAACTTTCCTTAGGATGTAGAGAATTCCACTGGCCCATCTTTTGCATTTGGTTGTTGACCTTGCTTTAAGAATGTTGAAGGGTTTATGTAATGCGAAATCTTGAATATCTTTATGTTCCCTTTTTTATACAAGTAAATTGTAAGTAAATAACATACCTATATAAGCTCCAAATCATGGCAAATTATTTTAGAAGTGAATCAAAATGCTGTAATATCTTTGGATTAAAGGAGTTTGCAGGCAAACTTGACTTAAAGGAGGATAGCTATGTTCTCAAGGTTTCTTTGTCCTTTGGAAATTCTAGGTAATGTATTCTTACTTTATTTTAATTTGTTTTGATGTGTTGGTTTTGGAGGTGTGTTTGCTGGATTGTGTTTCAGTTATCTATGACTGCATAGCAACTCCAAATTCTAACAATTTAACATAATAGAAATATATCATCTCACAGAGGTTCTGAGGGTTGGGAATCACCCGTGAGTGGCTTCACTGGGTAGTTCTGGCTCAGGGTTCCTCCTGAGTTTGCTGTTTAGCTGGGTTGCAGTTATCTAGAGGCTTAACTGGGGCTGGAAGATCCACTTCCAAGGTGGCTCATGCACATGACTGTTGGCAAAAAAAAGTCCTCAGTTCCTCACCAGCTGTTGTCAGAAGGTCACCGTTCCTTACCACGTGGCCGTTGTCTTAGGCTGTTTGTCCCCATGATGGCAGCTGGCTTCCCCTGGAGCAAGCAGTCCAAAAGAGAGAACAGGAAGAGGAAACCACAGTGCCTTGTAGAACCAAATCCCCAAAGCTGCACCTGTCACTCTCACTTAGGGAAGGGAGTTGGGCTCCATCTTAAAGAGGGTCAAAGAATTTATGGACGTATTTTAAACCACCACAGTTTGCAATTTGAAGAAGCTGAATAAAGAACAGAGAAGTGATTTTCTAAGGATGCACTGAACTGTATGCCTTCCTTTCCCTCCCTCCCTTTTTGCCCCAGTCTCCATACTCTTTCGCAAGCTTATGTCCATTCCCATTGCTTTGGCTTCTCAGCAGAGATAAATTGACCTCATCATTGCCCTTTGTCTTCAAATCCCAAACTTTCACTGAAGGATATTCACCTAACTTGAATGCTAAAGGAATTCCACAGTGATTAAAAAAGGAGATTGCATTGAATTTGTGAAGTTCAAACCCTGGCTTCACAAACTACTAGTGGTCTTCATCTTTCTCAGTTTCCTTATCTCTAAAATAGGATATATATGAGCAACTCTGTATAAGACTATTGTGAATACTAAATGAGATAATAAGTGTGAAATACATAGAATAGTTCCTGGCATAGAGTAAGTGCAGATTTATTTAATATTTAATCAAAAGCTTAATGAATATTTATCCAAAGCTCATCCAAAAGATGCAACATTCAAGGAAGATTGCTTATGTGGCATTCATTGGATATACTCTTCCAAATAGTCTAGAATCAAGGATATAGCCAGATCTACAGCAGGAAATTGGGCACCTAGACCTTACTATTTTTAGCCTTCAAATAATTGCTTTTCCTAAATACTACTTTGCCATGATGCCATTTGTTTATAGTGTGATCGTTACACAGGAAATGTGATGCCTGTGGTTCAGGACATCCCAACAGACTTTTCCACAGGGAACCATGGTGACTATTCAAGTCTGATCTGAGTACCAAGCACACTTATGCTTGTCCTGAGGAAAGTTGCCTTTAAGGATGTTAAACCAACTGACAAGGTTTGCCTCTGAAAGTTGACTGCTAGAAAATCTAAAGCTACATCTGTGGGCTCTGGATAGCATATAGAGAGGTCATAAACACCATGGATTTGGAAACTGGTTTCCTGGCTTTACTTGTTTCCTTCTTTCTCTTCCCCTTTTCCTGATGCATGTTGTTTTGCTGTGGTTTGTACATCCTTGTAAGCTGCCCATCTTTTCTGGGTTTAAGGAGCATAATGGAAAGCCATTGTCTGGAAGAAATTGTGGTTAGATTATGTCATTTCAGAAGTAGAACATGGCCCAATACATAAAAGTTAGAAGATGAATCTCCTTTTACTCTTTGCTCTAACAGTATGGACAACGAAGAACAAAATAAGCTGCCTCGGGGAGAAGTGAGTGTCTCATTCAATACATCGTTCAAGGAAAAGTCATTGGTAGCAAAGCTGTAGAAGAATTATAGAGTTCTAGATGTGCAAAAAGCCCTAGACATCATTAACTCCAGTGATTCTCGGTGTGGTTCACAGATTTATTGTGAGATGCCTGTGAATTCACCCGTGCTTAATGTTTTTCCTTCAACTATCAAGATAGAAAAAGTACAACTCTTACTATGTGGGTATTCAAGAAATGTTTGCTGTTAACAAAAAAAAGAAAAAAAAACCGTGTGTAAAAAAGTTGAAACCCAAATTCTCTGCCATTTGTGGGATTTAACATTTTTTGGAGCTAGACACCCATGTGTTGAGCCCTAGGCTCCAGAGGATTCTAATCTTGTAGTCATTTCACCCACCACCATGTGCCTGGGTAGTCTTCCACACAGCTGTGGTTTCTATTGTATATCCTTTCCATCTGAAGACTTCTGTGTCTTTAGTTGAGCTTCTGTAAAATAGGTGCTATCGTTAGTATTTATGAGTCTTTTGTTCACACATATGGGAATGTCCATTGGAAAATCAGATTCCAGACACTTTGCTCCACTGTGTCACAGGCTTATCTGTTCCCTCAGGAGCAATGTACCTTAACTAATAAATGAAGACAGGGATTTCCATTTAAATGATGATGTCAGTCCACCTAGGAAAGGCCTGATAAATGTGGGATAGATCCAGCAAATTTATTACCAGTATAAAGAATTATTTGAAAGTACCACCTCCCAGGATTCAAGCTGCAGTGTTACACTGGTTTCCTGTCTTTATATTCCTGTCCTAAGCCTTTTCATTCTTCTTGGTAAGTCATGTATTTGGTATTTAACATTCATCGAATGTATGAATGAATGAATGAATAGAATAAATGGTTGCATGAATCTTAATAATCTAGGAATAGTATTAATAAACTATTACTTTTATTTTCCAGTATTAATCATCATTTATCCCAGTATTAAAACTGCTTACCTTGCCCCAACAAAGACCTCTTTGAAAAATATTTAAGCACCTTTATATACTTATACAATATACAGTGTTTTGATAGCACACATAGTATATAATTCAGAAAACCAAAATAACACTATGTTCAGGGATCCACAAAAAGTCCATTAGAAACCTGAAAGTACTGCAGAATTTACAGAATTGATGTGCTCTATCAAAGGCTACATACAAGGCCAAGTAAAGAGTACATTCTGATATGTAAAATGTGTTACTCTTGGGAGCACTGAGATTTTGGTTTTGACTCAGCACAGAATATTTTTACGTAGATAGAATGCAACAGAGAATGTATTTTGGTATCAAATACTAGTCTAGCCTCACTCTACTAACCCTAGATCCTACTTTTACTACTGCTTATAAAAAAATTAATTGATTTCCTGAAGAATTCACATTATGCATTATTCTTTTTTTCTGGCCTTATTGCTAGTCATCAGAACTATCTCACAAACTTTTATGACTCTAATGCAAAATGTTGACGTGTTTACTACTGGAAAACAGCAACAAAATATGGAATACATTATGCTCACTGACCTGGGAATGCAGAAAGCTATGGCAATCA